GGGGACAAAGCATAATAAACATGGATAGGGGGCCAAAAGATAGGAAACCTGGGTAGGAGGGGAAAAATATATATGAGAGTTAAATGGGCAAATGGCTACTATGGGGATTTTTAAGGCATGGGGGGGGAGGAGGGACCATGGCTCCCCTTTGCCATCCCTGGCTCCGACCTTGATTCTATGGCTTTGTTCCCATTCCTCTATATGGAGGGGGTGTCAACTGCCAAGTGGCCATCTTGATGTTTTCAAAACCAGACTGGAAAAACCATGAACTAGTCAGGTGACTGGTTTCAGTTTTCCCCAAAACCGGAATTTCTTAAAAAACCGTTGATTTTGGTCAACAAACCGCTGACTTGGGTGGTTAACCGTTCGAACCGTTCAAATGGCTTTAACCGTTATTTATTTTTTTTGTTAGAATGGGTCGACCATTCGGTTTGAATGGTCAGACCGTTTGATCGGGTAACTGGACCCCTGATCAGTTCGGTTTTAAAAACCATGATGGCCATGGGCCAAATATCTAGAAGTGAAAGTCAAGTCGAATTAGGATTCATATCATATATATTAAAACTTATTAAATTAAAAAGTGAAAAAATATAATACATTATCAACAGATGAACTAAAATTGACCTCAACAATGTAAATCATTAATAAAATGAATTTGAAACAACTTTAAGGACACTTAGGCCATGTTTGGTTCACTACTATAGGCCTCATTTTTTTAATTCTTGCTCATTCTAGACAATAATGAATAACATTAGAGTGTTTGGTTACAAAATTCTTGCAAAGGGCCACATTCTTTTTAGAATGAAAAATCAACTTCATAGTTCATAGCACAAAAATTGAGTAGCTTGTAGCATGAAAAATAATCATGCCCCATCTTGCTCATTTCATTCTTCGCAGAAACTTGCCTACAAAACTATTGCCATAAATGTTTACTTTTGCGAAAGAACTTTTACAAAAACACTTATAAAAGTACTTTTACATGAAAACATTTTTATGAACCCACTTTTACGAAAGCAATTTTATGAAAGTACTTTTACATGGAAGAATTTTTACAAAAGTACTTTTATGAAAGTACTTTTTTGGAAATACTTTTACAAAAGTACTTATATAAAAGCACTTTTACGAAAGTACTTTTACAAAAGCACTTTTACAAAAATACTTTTATAAAAGCGCTTTTACGAAAGAACTTTTATAAAAGCATATTTTGAAAGCATTGTTACGAAAGTACTTTTACAAATGTACTTTTATAAAATCACTTTTATGAAAGTACTTTTATAAAAATCACTTTTACGAAAGCACTTTTATGAAAATACTTTTATAAAAGCACTTTTATGAAAGTACTTTTTTGAAAGCATTTTTTATAAAACTTTTATGAAAACACTTTTATAAAAGGACTTTTACGAAAGTATTTTTACAAATGTACTTTTATGAAAGTACTTTTACAAAAACACTTTTATGAAAGCACTTTTATGGAAGCATTTTTGTGAAAGCACTTTTACGAAAGTACTTTTACAAAAGCAGTTTAGGGAAGTACTTTTATTAAAGCACTTTTATGGAAGTACTTTTATTAAAGGACTTTTGCGGAAGTACTTTTACAAAACATCTACAAGTGGTAAACATTGACTATTGGAGACCTAGGCTGGCGATTTGTGGATATCAGGGTGATTTTTTTTTTTTTTGAAGAACAAAAATGAGAAACATAGGACATTTGTTAGTACGAAAAGAATTCATTTTTAGGTAAGAATGAGAATTGAACCAAACATGACCACAACATTCGGACCAACTTTATCAATCAACACAATATAAATTTTATATGAATAGAAGAATATGTATTTTAAGTATTGTTGTATTGAATCATATAAGATCATCTAATAAAGAGTAGAAATGTAAGATTCATATTTGATCAAATTCCGATCACTTTTAGGTTTTGAATTTAAATTTGAATATGCACTTTTAGGAGGTGTTTGGCACCATTGCCATGTTTCTAAAAAATGGTGCCATGTTAGCGCCAATAAACGTTTCAACCTCAGGCAAAACTATTGTTTGGTCGGGCATTTTTTGAGAAACGCTGGGAAAATGCCTCATCTGGAAAATCATGTAACCTGCTTTCCATGAATGRTTGATGAGGTGACACAGATGCTTTTGTAGATTAATGCTATTTAGTGTTGCTACATCTGCTTAGGTGGCAGCAACACCACCAGACAAGCTACATTACTGTTTTTTGAGAAAAAAAAGTCTAAAACATCTACAATAAAACAACAATAGTCTCAAACACCTTTTGAGAAAACAGTGTACTATTTCATCGAACATCTACAACAAACAACAATGATACCAAACACTACCCTAGGTTCTAAGTAGCAGTACTGTCGATCAGGAGTAAAATTATGATCATGCATGGGATGGATAATTTGACCAGACTGATTTGTCCAAACAAGAATATAATATGACAAAGAAATAAGAAAAAATAATTATTAATATTTCACGAAATTGATACTTCGCCAGTGATTCAGTGACAAGACCGGTTTGAATCAACCCAATTTGTTAATTATACAAAATCCCGTTGGTTTGGTCATTTGAAGAATGGTTTAAACTCTGGGTTAGGTCTTGAGGCTAACTTGCCGATCATATCCAATATATAGCATTTCTGTATTAAATTTGTTCATGGGCCGAGTTTAGGCTTAGTTTTTATCAAAATTTGAATGGGCCAAACCTGTGAACAATTTACTTTTTGGCAAGGTTGCAGTCAGCCATTACTATAATTGAAACATCTTCCCATGATGACATATCAGGATTAATATTATCATCCGGTGATGTTTTCAATACACAGCAGAGATGTGATGCGGGGCGTTACGGGGCAGCCTCTTGTGGGGCATAGATTGATATCATCATTAAATTGCATTTCTTCTCAATTTTAAAATAATGCCCTTAATACTCTCTTAGAAATATTTTGGTGCCTGTTTGGTAAGTCTTCTCTAGAAGATCTGATGGTTAAAAGACAGGCTGAGTTTTAGCAAATAGACATCGGAAGACCAAAGACTGTTTGGTTGAAATATTTTACATAGATCTCATAAAAGATCATAAAAGCTATAAGACCGTTTGATAATGTGAATGTTTTGTGTGTGGGCCAACAAACCTTTCATTTAACACATGAAATCCACATACATTTTCTAAGGTGGGACCCACATACCATTGGTGGGCATGTATGTCGGGCCCATTTACATTTTACAAGGTGGGCCTGACATATCATTGGTGGACATGCATGTGGGGTCTATGTGTCGACATGTATGTGGGGCCCACATACATTTTACATGGTGGGCCCCAACATACCATTGGTGGCCATGCATGTGGGGTCCATGTGTGGACATGTACATGGGGCCCACTCATTTTTCAAGGTGGGCCCCACATACAATTGGTGGATATGTATGTGGGGCCCACATACATTTTGCAAGGTGGGCCCCACATACCATTGGTTGACATGCATGTAGGGTCTATGTGTGGACATGTACGTGGGGCCCACTCATTTTTCAAGGTGGGCCCCACATACAATTGGTGGGCATGTATGTAGGGTCCATGTGTGGACATGTATGTGGGGCCCACATATATTTTGCAAGGTGGGCCCCACATACCATTGGTGGACATGCATGTAGGGTCCATGTGTGGACATGTATGTGGGGCCCACATATATTTTACAAGGTGGACCCCACATGCCATTATGCATGTGGGTCAATGTGTGGACATGTATGTGGGGCCCACATACATTTTACAAGGTGGGGCCTATATAATACCTAATGTGAGCCCCATATACATTTTCCAAAGTGGGCTCCACATACCATTGGTAGGTCCCTCTTACACATTCAAATAATTTTTGTGGAAAAATAACTCATTTTCTCCCAAGCATGTGCATCGTACCATAGGTTCGAAGATGATGTGGCACTAAAAGATTGTAAAAAATTCATTTGAAGCTTCCTTAAAAGGCCCAAATTAGGACTTTTGACATCTTTTATGGGATGAAGCTTTTTCCCAATAAATTTTTCTATTATCAAACGAAAAAGCCCAGAATTCAGACTCCGAAGCCTGTACGGAAAGAATTGCCAAACGCGGCCTTGATCTTTGTTAACCTTTGGTCTACCGTCTAAGTCCATGAGATGCCCCACCCGTTTGGTCTTCGGATGATCATGATCATCAATGTCCTAAACTTAATTGTGTTGAACTAAACCCGATAACCTTTTACTGAAGAAAACCCAAATTTGTGTAAGGGAATAGCTCCATCCCACCCACCAAATTGTGACTTCAAAAAAATCTCGAATTTAATTTACTCCACACGAAGCGTATTTCATATCAATCTTACAGCACATCTCAGCCATACATTGAGGATATCTTCCAATGATAACAACGTATAATCACAGGAATGTTCCTCATGCACGGTTGCCATGTGCTGGAGCCTGGGAGGTTGGTGTGAATCGCACCTAGTGAGGAGCAAATTCGGATTCGTGGGCTTCGTGATTTTGATCCAGAAACCAGTGTTCTATTACTCTTCCAGTACAGGGCTTAACCTGGGGTCCACACCTCATATTTCCCAGAAGACAAGATCATTAAAGTGATAAACTTTGATTAGGTAACAAGAATTAAAGCCATTCCGTGCACTCACCTTTAATTGTATACGTGGCAAAATCATATAAATCAAGATCTGGATCTCTAGGTGGGTCAGGACAGAATTGATCCACTGGAATTCTCTACTCCGTAGCATCCTGTGGCCTCAGAGCATTGGGACTCTCGCTTTCTACTCCAAGTCTCCAACCCTCTCAAATAAATTCAAAATTTAAAAGCCCCTCCACGTCCCCAACTCACCAACCCATTTCATACGTCCACGTCATCATTAAAGAAACCTTTGTCCAGATTTCGAAGAAAATTTCTTTAGTTGCTTCTATCTATCACATAATCACATGCTGACTACCGGCTAAAGCCGGTAACTATATGTCACACCTCCGTGGTTATCCACCGGTTCACCGTTTCTCGAAAGCCATATCCCATATGTCTAACGGGTCTCTGATGCAGCTGGAGCTAAACTGCTAAACCAATCAACCAACTGCTGCTGGAGCCTGGAGATGAGCGGTCTAAGCAAGCTCGTGATCGGACTCACCGTGGTTTTCGTCGTCTCTGTCGTGGCTCTGATCGCCCAGGTTGTTTATGTCATCTGGTGTCGGAGAAGATTCCGGCGAGAGAACTCCACTGGAGAACCTGATTTCACCGGTAAGCCTTTTGCCAGCCCTTCCAAGGAGTTGCTCTACTTCTTCTGCTGGAAAAATCAGTCTCGCATCGAGCCCGCCGTCCCTCCAACTTCCCTGGCTTCCGATGCGCAGGATGCGGCTCCGGAGCTCGTGGACCCGCTGAAATGGCACGGATTATACGGACCATCAAGGGTTTTGTTTACGATCAAGGAAGAAAGAGAAGATGCGGAGTCTCAGAAATCATCGGCGGAGAGAAAGCCGAAGAAGAGGCAGTCTTTGGAAGAATGCTTCGAGGTCACGAATAGCGAAGAACTGGAGGAAATTGTGAAGGTGGAGGTGGAGGTGGAGAGGGGGACACCGTTCACGACGCCTTGTGGTTCGCCTCCTTATTACACTCCTTGTCCTTCTCCACCTCGTGAGGTGCAAAGGAGCGTAGTAGAACTCGAAAATGTGCCACACCTACAGCAACACTGCATCAGGGTTGATTTGGGTGTTGATGGGATGCAAAGAGAACTGCCGGAGATTGAGTTTAACGGGAAAAGCAAGGAAGGGTGCAACATTTAGCTGAGATTAAAATTAGAAGTTCACGGCTGCCGACTCGCCGGTTATTGGGTCCGAAGCCGAACGGCGAAGAATGGTCGTAGTGGTTGAGCCGTTTATGTATGTACGTAAACTTCATTTAGTATTTGATTTGACATAGCTTCTCTTTACTTGGTGATTAGTTTCTTCCTTTAAGGAAATGGTTGTTACCGTGTTATCTTTGGAGAGTGAAAGTGCAGCTTTCAGTCCGTAGCCCTGTACCGAGGCCTACGTACAAGTATATGATATTATACTGCCGTTGGAGATCTAGTTTTTTCGTTGCCTCATCTCTCTCTCTCCCCCTCATTGATTCCTTGTATAGCTAGAGGTGTAAGTGTAATATCTTTGTGGCGCTCTGATCTGCTACCCACTAGTCGTCCCACATCCCTAACCACGTGACATAACATCTGCGCATCGGAAACATCTCCCTTTTCATTCACGGGGAGATGTTTCAAATACAGCCGTCGTGTTCCGGGGTAAAGATTTGGGAACATTTGTGAGTAGCAGATCTGGAATGATTTCTATGATGCTTGTGGGACCAGTTGACGGATTGAAATCTGCGAACAACAAAACGCTGCCGATATTATTCCAACCGGCCACATTGAGATTTGAGAACATCCCCTTGTCTATACTCCCAATTCAAGTCTCAATGGGCCAAAACCAAATGTCGAGATCACATCAGGGCCCTCTTGCACATAAAGGGATATTCCCAACACACGGTTGAGATGTGCTGTGGGTCGCTCATGTGAACTCCCAAAAGTCCAGTCTATTTGATGGATGGGTTAAGTGGGCCATCATCAATGAATAGTGTTCATGACTGGAAAAAGGGCCATAAGGCCCACAACCTACATGTGACAAAGACAATAATTAATTCAACAAGTAGGACTGTAGGAGGAGTCAATGACCTTACTGCCCTAGAAGCTAAGGGCATGATGACGATCCATTAGCAGTCCAAGATGTGTAAGGCATTGGGCTTCTGTGAATGGGCCCTATGCCTCCTAACCATCTAAGTGGAGAACTGGGTTATTTTTGTAGTTTTCATTTTGGGCACTTTGGAAGAATACGTTTGCATAATCAGATAATCTTCATACAGGGACGGACAACAAGCCAGTGGATTTAGGGATAAAAAGAGTCAAAAAGCTAAATGACTGGGGAAAAGCTTCAACCCATAAAGGAAATTGGAATGGGCCCACATCTTCACCTTCCACTCTTCCGCTATTTATGATGCTGCTAAGTTCAGCTTTAAAGGCAATCTATAGAACAAAGGGTTCATGGGTTCGGCTTTAAAGGCTTTGCCACCAACCAAGAAAGATAAGCCCTTCTTTGGAGAGTTTGAACCATAGAGCGAGCAGTCCAATACAATATTACTAGGTAGGACCGTAGGATATTGCCCAATCGAAGAGGGTCCCTCGTATCCATTACACTGTTAAGATTAACCACACAAAAAAGCGTGAGACCATATGTACTTTCGAAATCCAAAGGGCTCCGTGAACTTGATGGACAAGCCAAACCAACTTGCGGAGACTTTACTTAGATTTAAGGTTTTTATAGAGTAAATTTGATTCGGGGATTGTTTTAATTAAAAGTGAAAATTTCTTTTTAGGGTATTTTAATCAATTTCTATCAGAATTTGTAGATATAAGGGTAAAATGGATACTTTTGAAAAACTAATGCATTAAGCGACGTTTTTAGTCCAAGACAATAAGAAAAGGGAGGTCATTGCAGGTTTTTTCAATAATAAATAGGAGGTTTTTGTGAAAGTGAAACGATGATGTGCGATTCGGTCGGTTCTAACTGCCGGTTACCTTGTCTTTGACAGAGTTGAAGATGCCTGAGACAAGGAAGAACTGGAGATTTCCGGGGAGGAACCCGGTAGGAACATTCCGAAGCTCAAGTTAGTACTCTTGAGAAGGCAAGGGAAAATAATGGATTTCAAGACCAGAGAGCACAAATATCACATACCTCTTTCTCTGGGGGAGGAAGGCCTTTTATAATCACCTGGTACACTTACTCCCAAATTTCTGCCAAGTCAGGTATAACCGCCTTTGGGGGGGGGGCAGGCATAATCGCCACTGTCCTTTCTGCCAGGGTCGTCTCTGCCACAACTGAGATGGCGGTGGCAGGTGGCCATTACGGCATGATTGCCGTCTATTAGACCCAGATCAGTCAAGCGCGTTGCCCCAGAGTACAGATCTGTCAGATATGGTTTCACAGTCACGCGGCCTGGTGCCGGAGTGGTGCGCGACTTTTGACGTCCGATAGTTGATAAATCGTTTGACGTCCGCGCGTGAGCTGTACGCGACCCGGACTGACTCTTTTGACAACCTTCTGGATGAGCCCGAGGTAGGGCCTTCAGGTCGGGCTACCCCGGGTAGTCTAGAGTCCACCTCTCGTCGGGTTCGAATGCCGGACACGTTCGGACCTTCCACCATGACGTCTGAGAGACTTCGGTCCCTTATTCGTCAGTTCAACCTGCCCGGGGAGTATGCATATAGMATACCTTCGGGCAACTTCCCTTGGGAGCATGGTCCAGATGAGATCGTGGTCTTCCGGGAGCAGCTCATTGCCGGGCTGCGTCTTCCTCTTCATTCTTTAATCGTCGAAGTCTTGAACCACTTCAGTGTCTCAGTCGGTCAGCTTCACCCAAACTCAATTCGCAACGTTGTCGGGACCATATCCCTCTACTGCAAATACGTCATCCCCTTGGACTTAGAAATTTTTTCCGCTCTTCTCATGCTTAAGAAACAAGCGAGCTACCTTCCCGAGCACAGGCGGGCTTACTACCTGTCACATCGCTCGGGGTTCAAACTACTTCACAAGCTTCCAAACAAAGTCCCGACGTGGAAGCGGGACTACTTCGTGGTCCGAAGTGCTACGGGGTGGCCGTTTCCTATTCAATGGAGGGCGGCTGTCCCTAACCCCGACGTCATGTTGGATAAAGACATGGCGGAGACCTTTCAGTCCTGGGCCCAGGTCGGGCTCGAGTGCGAAGAATACCTCTCAGAAGCCAAGTTCATTCAGGCCGGTCTGAGTCTGGGTAGGCTTACTTAGTCTTTTTTCTTTTTGGTACTGATGCCGAGCTTCTTTTGCATGTATTATGGAAGCAGAGAAGACCTGCGGTGTTAACTTGCTCACCGGGATGAAAAGAAGGAAGCGAGTCACCAAGTGAGCTCGCGTGGAGTCTCCTCGGGCCATGGAGCCCGAAGTCTCGAGCCAGCCTCCGATCATCAACCTGGACTCTCCTAGGGAATCCGAGGCGGCGGGGCCTATTTCCGAGATGGCAGCGGAGCTCGGCATTGCGGAGGCTTAGGAAGCTGAGACTACAGAGGCTTCTCGAACCCCAACTGTTTTTTCCAGCTCGGGGAGCCAGGAGGGGGTTGGCAGTGTGCTGACCCCGAGCTGTGCTCTTCGCAAGAGCAAGAAGGCTGTTTACCCGAGCGAGGTCGCGGAATGGTTCGAGCTCCCTCTCGGTCACATCGGCGCACGTGCAGCGTCTCACGTCATGGTGGTAAGTTGTCGAAGTCTTCCCTTAGTGTTTTTTCCATTCACTCTTTTACTTTCTTGCCGAACTGACTCTTTGCTTGGCAGGCAAACTCCTCTATTCACGCCCTGATAATTCAGTCAGAGAGGAACCTGAAGCGGGCACAAGCTGCTGAAGAGGCTCTGGGGTCAGCTCGGGAGCGGGCGCAGACTGCTGAAGAGGCTCTAGGATCAGTTCGAGAGCAGGTCCATCGCCTTGAGGGGAAGCTTCAGCTTAGAAGAGCGAACTGGAGAGACTCCGAAGGGAGAATGGCGCTCTGAGGCTCGTCGTGAAGCACCTCGCGACTTCGAAAGGCAGCCTGGAGCACGAGGTGGAATACCTCAAGGCCGACATCAAGGAGAAGATAAATATATTCTTTCAGGCCCTTGAGGATACCAAGGTGAAGGCCGACGACGACTACATAGCATCGGAGCGCTTCGACGACCTGATGGTGGGCTCATACCGGAGGGGCTTCAAACTGAGCCGGTGGATGATAAGGCATGCCTACCCCGAACTTGATACCCGCGCCATCACCACCTCGTGTATTACTCTGGAGATGGCTGCTGCGGCTGATGAAGATCTGGATTCTAACGATGAGGCTGACCCCTCGAGTGTTGCTGAGGTCCCTTCTGAGGGCAAGGGGAATGCAACCCCGAAGTGATGTATACCGGGCCTGTGAGCCCGAAGTGATATGTATCAAGCCTGTGAGCTCATTTTCCTCCTTTTTTTTTGAACACTGTAAAGCAAACGTTAGTAATGAAGTACTTTTTTCTACTCAAGTGTTGTGCAACTATTTCTTTTTTGCCGAAGTGATTATATTGCTGATCTGCATAGAGTTAGGTCCCTAACTCCCGAGACGGGGGGATTCCATGAGGCGAGTTGACATAGTAAGGCTATATGCCCGATCTATTCTCTGCCTATCTTGGAGCGAGCTTTACACCCCGGGTTTCATACCCGTGCTGCCTGCTCTTTTGGCACAGTTTGCGCTGATGAGTTTCCGAGGTCATCCTCAGCTCGGTGCTTTAGCCCTTTGGATATTTTCCTAGGTTTCTTGCCCATGCCGGGGAGGTGACCAGGTCTTTGTTACTTCGGTATTCTGGCCCTTAGGCTCTTGGGAGCGGCTTACAGTCTGCCCAGTTCGGTAACTTATAGGTAATATCGCCTTTGGTTGACGATGTTCCAAGCTTGGGGTATTTGCCTACCCTCCAAGGTCTTGAGCTCGTATGCTCCTCCGAGTGCTCTCTTTACTCGATAGGGTCCTTCCTAGTTCGGCTCGAGTTTGCTGACGCCGGGCTCAGGTACCATGACCTTGCAGAGAACCAGGTCGCCGACGCGAAAGTTTCGCTTCTTGACTCTGACGTTGTAGTACCAAGCTACCCTTTGCTGGTACGCTGCGGTCCTGATGTATGCGAGGTCCCTCACCTTGTCGAGCAGGTTGAGGTTGGTACGTAGCTTGTCGTTATTTGTATCATCAGTGTATGCTTCCAGCCGAAGTGAGGGGATTTCGATTTCAGCTAGGATGACTGCCTCCGTGCCCTAGGTGAGGTTGAAGGGGGTTACTTCGGTGGCGGTTTTCTCTGTAGTTCGGTATGCCCATAGAACGCTAGGCAGCTTGTTTGCCCATAACCCTTTAGCTCGGTCTAGCCTGGCCTTTAGTCCGCGGAGAATAGCTCTGTTCGTGACTTTTGCCTGACCGTTTGTTTGTGGGTGTGCGACCGACGTGAAGTTTTGCCGGATCCCCATTGTCTTG